CACCGTATCATCCTGAGGGTAACGGGCAGTGTGAGAGGTTTAATCACACGTTACATGACTTGTTGCGCTCGTTACCCCCACACCAGAAGCACAAATGGCCACAGGCGCTTCCTCAGATACTCTTTGCCTATAATACCACGCAGCATGCATCAGTACACAGAGAGCGCTGTAGTCATGCAGCAGACCAGAAGCACAGCACTTGAAACCCACTTCAAACTTTACATTTCGATCGATACAGGGGTACTTATATCGATGCACTCGCATATTAGAAATTAATACTGATTTCCACCTTATATCGGCACGAGGCTGAAGTTGGCTCCTTATTTGGATTTTCCGGTCCACCTTAAATGCTTCGCAGCCCAATGCATTGACGCAATTGTGCCTGTAGGGGGACCATTTTAATACCTTAAACCTCTCTGTGCCAGGCAAATATCAACTTCTCAGTACACAACAGGTACCCGGCTATATAGAAAAGGTGACATTGTCCTGGCCCAGACTGATTTAATGCTTTAAATATCAGAGGGAAACAAGTTAGAGCTGGGCAATATGGCCTAAAAATAAAATCTCCAATTTTTTCCCACAATAAATCCGATTTTTGATTTTAATCGATTTTCCCCTCCCCTACTAAAAATCAAACTACAGATGACAAATAAATGGTAGAAATTAATTTATAAGTATAGAGCGAGGTAGGATAAATGCATTTTCAAGATAAGTTAATTGGAATTCAGATTCAGTTTCTCAATACAACTGCAGACTCAAATACAGACTATTTATATTCAGTTTCTAGTGGCACAAATATCAGCCCATACAGCTCAGCTTTGTTGTTCTCAGTTGTTCTCTCTTGATCAGTCTCTAGAAAAGACCTTATAATACAGGACTCACTGCAGGACCCATAAGTTTTATGTGTGGAAATTGGCTACAAAATCATGTGAAGGTTTTTCATGAAATATCAATCGAAACATCAACACAAGCAGATTGCTTCCATACTAAAGGAATGGGAGCAGAAACAGATGTGGGCAGCAGATGTGTGTCAACTCAGAGCACCGAGCTTCACGGGAGGAGAGCAGGGTGTGTGTGTGCGTGTGTGTGTATGAATAGAAATATCTGTTCAGGATGAGTGAACAGTCTGGAACTAAAATTATTATGACGATGTGGCATTGATGTAGCCAATATCATTTTGCAAGAGACCAGTGGGTGTGTGAGTGAGGTATGTCCTGTGACTGTCAATGGACAGTCTGCATACCGATGGAAGATATGTGTGTGTGTTTGTCTGTATGTGTATGTGTGTGTGTATGTGCGTGTGCATGAAGGATTAGTGACATCTGTATATTACTGAAGGAATGAAAATGTGTGTATATGTGTGTCTGTGAAGGAGCAGAAATGTGTGTATCACAGTAACAGGACAAAACTGAGGTCATTTTAAATAACAGACTAGTTGAAATACAAATGAGAACATGCATTCATTTGCATACTCTGGTTTTCTTATTGCCAAAATAGATGTTCTGTTACCTGGAGGAAATGGATGTGATCCTCTATGTGTGAAAGCTGCTCCAGCTCAGAGTGTCTCCTCTTCAGTTCATAAATCTCTTGCTTCAGTCTCTTCATGTGTCCTTTAGCCTGACTCACTGCAGCCTTCTCCTGATCTCTGATCAGCTGTATCACCTCAGAGCGTCTTCTCTCAATGGAGCGGATCATCTCAGTGAAGATCCTCTC